CAGAGCTAGTGGAAGGTTGAAATGAGATGAGCCCAAAACCAGCCCAAAACCTCCCGTGATTCCTGCAAGATTGCCGGGACATCCTGGAGCTGATCCATGGCAGGCAGGGAGCTGGGGGACTGGGAGCTGATGCACCCAGGGAGCCCCGGCAGCAGGGGATGCTCCTGGCACCAGGGGAGCAGAGGATTGGTGGCTTCGCCTCTGGAATCTCTCCTGGAGAGGGTCATTAGAGGGAGTAATTGGGATCACCTTACTTTACAAATGTTACTTTGCAGAACGAGGCAGGAAGACAGATCGAACTCAACTATTATTCATTAAGGAAAGTCCTTTATAAATCCCAAATTAACAATTTCTCTCGGAGAGAGCCTTCCCATTACCCTCCTTTGGCGGGGACTTATTGCCGCTCTGGAAACGGGGAAATTCGAAAATAATTGGGGAGCGGGGAGAAATAGCAGCTGTGGGCTTAGGAGCCCAGCATCTGGTTGGAAAAAAAAAAAAATACAGATGTGTGTCTTAAAAATGACCATGAGCCTAACTCAGAGGGGCAGTGTTTCCGACAGACACTGCGAGCCCACGGCTCACAGTTATTGCTCCTTAAAAGCTCAGAGGTGCTTTCCAAGTTGGTTGCAGGGCATGGAATTCCAGCAGGAGGGTGGCCTAGTGGTTTTTTATCATGGAATTGTGGAGGAATTGTGTATTTGATAAGGTGTCTTACCCCCAGCTGCCACATTTAGGGTGACGCCTCGGGGATGGTGCAGGAGGATTTGTGGTGAAGAGATGTTACTGTGGCCCTGAGGAGCTGACAGGTTTGTTTCGAGTCAAGGCTGCCAGCAAAAATACCCCAATTCTTAATTTGTATAACCCATTCCCAAGGCTTCTTTTGCCCGTTCTGGAAATGCCAGCGAGAGAGGCAGATGTTTCTTAAAGGGCTTTTGGGGCCAACCCCACATTTTCCCACAACATTTCCAAGTACAGATGCTTTTGCAGCAAAACCAAAAATCTTGAAGAGGATCAAAACCAGGGAGGAAAACAGTAAAAAATTCTGTTTATACTCAGGCAGTTGCAATTTTTATCACTTAAAAAAAAAATCACTGCTAATGGCCCTTTTGGAGAGGCCATTTTTGGGGTATTGGCGCGTTTTAGAGACGATTGGGAGCTCCAGGCGCTTGGCACTACACAGTCAGCTCCTCGCTGTTGGTAAGACTCTCCTGCAAAATTAGAAATGGGAATCCCCGGGTTGTCTTTTGCTCGGTTAATTAATAGGATGAGCGCACTAAAAGCGCTCCCCCGGAGCGGCGATGGGCCCCCAGCCCTGCCGGCAGCCCAGGGCCAGCAGCCCGGCCATCACCGCGGTGCCCCCGCCTGGCGCTGGTTCTCGGGGGGACTCGGGGGGGATGAATTCCCCTTCCCCGGAGCTGCGGCCGCGGCTGGAGGGAGCCGGGAGCGCTGCCCGAGGGACGCGGGGATGCTCCGGCCGTGCATTCCCGGGGGTTTCCCCACCTTGGGTAGTCTGTAAAAGGCGGAGCGCGGTGCCCCACACACCCCCCCACCTCTCACCGGTGATTTTAGCTTTACAAATTCTGCGGGCGTTCCGTAGGATCGTTTTGCTTTTAGCTGCAATAGCCCTTTTCGGCGTGGTTTTACGGGTTGGACTCACTCTCCTGCCAGAGTGGCAGTCTGGGCACCGAGGAAACGCCGCCTTTTAGTTCGGAGCCGAGATTCTGAGAGATGAAGCAGAGGTTTAAAATCCACGTGGCTCCAAAAAAAAAAAAAGCAACAAACCAAGAAAACAAAAGTTCCCTCCAACCATCCTTCTTTCTTTCCTTCCATCCTCCTGCTCGCAAAGGCGGCCTTTGGCTGCTCCCTCTTGCCAGGCTGAGCCCCGGGGAAAGTTGGGCGAGTAAGTTCTCGGAGCCGGAGGGAGGGCGGCACAGATCGATTGGCGAGTTTAATAGGATCAGGTCAGTGTAATCCTGTTTTAGCCATTGTAATTCAGGCAGCCAAGGAGACCTCAAACTATAGGGGAAGGGGCTTTTAAAACCGCAGCGGTCCTGCCACAAAGCCAGAGGCTGGGGCCGGGACAAAAGCGGGAGAGAGGATGAAGTGGCTTGAAATAAATAGATTAAGGCTTTCTATGGTCCAGGCGTAGCGGGAGGGAGAAAAGAGCAAGCAAGGGGCGGGCGAGCATCCCGCGGCGGCGGGAGGGGACGGAAGGGACCCGGCACCCAGGGGGGACACGGGCTGGCCGGGCACAGCGTCCCCTCCCGGTGCCGCCCCCTCCGCGCTGCCCGCGGTCCCGAAGGGTTGGGATAGGCAATCAATTTTTTATGGGGCGATTTATAATTCATACAGGTTGTCTTCGTACATATGGTGTTGCTTTTGTGCGTCAGGGTGCCGGGTGCTTTATGGGGTTCGCTCTCCTCACGGCCCACGGAGATGGACGCAGCCCCGTGGGACACCTGAGGGGTGGGGGTGGTGGGGGGGTCTCTTTCGAGGGGCCCGTGGGGGGACGGGGAGGATGCTCAGTCCTTCGGGAGGGCATTCCCAAGGGAGCACCCTCGCTGCGGGTGTGGGGGTCAGCCCCGGGGGTGCCCCCAGCACCCCCCGGCCGGGCACAGCAGGGTCCTTGTGGCATCCCCGGGGCCAGCGGGGCAGGGAAAGGGCAGGAAAAGAGCCCGGCCGGTCCCGGCTGCAATAATGACAGCAATTAAGGCAGAGCAAAGAGAACCGAGGCAGAGCAGCTCGGGGATACGGGCAGCCCCGGGTGTGCCCGGCCCCGCGGTGAGGGGTGACCGAGGGGGGATTTAAAGGCGCTGATGTCTTATTTAACAGCGAGGCAGCGCCATCCCAGCCCGCTGCCCACAGGTCGCCTCATCCCGGGGCTGCCAAGCCTTAAAAACCCGTTTGTGCTAAATGGAAAGCCGGGCTTTGCTGGGGCTGCCCGGGGCTCTCCATCCCCTCCGACTTTGGGTTTGCCGAGCACCGCGATTGTTCGATCCGCAGATGTAAGAGGAATTTATTGTAACAACAAATATAGTGATGTCAAAACCCAACCTTGGATTAAAGCCGGCAGCCAAAGGGGAAGTGTATTAATTTCAAACAGCATCAGAGGCCAGTGCCTATTAGGACGAGCTATTCTTCAGACCCCCCCATCAGAATTAATCATTGGGAGTTAATTTGAAGCTCAGACAAGTTGCTGTTAATTTAGTGCAGGGAGGACGGGATGGAATAAAAAGCTGAGGTGCTGGCCGGGCCTCCTGGGTCTCATTAATCAGCGAGCTGAGACGGCCTGGCTTGATTACAATTTGCAAAAAAATTCATTAGAGCCTGGGCGATTGACAATTTTTCTCTCTGCCTGTGATCTGACTCATTAGGCAGCCAAATGAAAGCCATGATGATGGTGATGATGACAGCTATCAACCCCCTCGCTTGTTTATCTCCTTCTCCTCCGGCCCCCGGCCCGGGGCTTCCCCCTCCAGCCGCGCTCCGGGTTAAAGGGGGGCAGCGGGGGACCCCGGCCCGCCGAGTAAATAACTTCCAGCGCTCGGGGCTGGCCCAGGGAGGGATGCCCGGCGGGGGACGGGGTGAGCAGCAGCTGCTGCTCCCTAAAATCCCACACTCGCAGCCCCGGGAGGGGCACAGCCGGCGTGGGGGTGCACCCCGATTTGGGGGCGGCAGGGCGCGGTGCTGGCCGGGCAGAGCCCCACGCACCGAGAGCCGCCAGGAATCAATTCAAGCAGCTCCAGAGATGATTTTTTTAGAAGCAGCGCCGGGGGTGGCACGGGTGCGTTTGTCCCACGCGTGTCCCGCGGCTCCCGGCGTCCCCCCGCGCGGGGACGGACCCCAGAAATTGTCATCAGCATTCTCATGAATATTCCGTTTTTTTTAAAGCAGCGGGCAGTGCCGAAAATGCCGGAATTGATCGTGTTTTTCCGCTGCTCCCCGCGTGTCCGCGGCTGCCCGTGGGGTCCCCGGCGATGCTGGCCGGGGTTGTGCCTTTTTGGGGAGCAGCTGGTGGGGATGGGGACCCCACCCCGTGCACCCCCGGAGCCACGGCCAACCCCCTCCACCCCAAACAAAATAATATTAACAACATTAATTATTATAATTATAATAAATAAGTGATGAAGCGCGAGCGATGTGACGCGGCCAAGCCTGGGAGCCTGTCCCGGGACCGAGCGACCCCCCCGATTTAATGATTTCATTTTAATAAACCCCCCCTCCCCTCCTCAGCGCTCCATTTTCCTCGGGAAAATTTCATTTTTAATTCCAAATCGCCGCCGCCGAAGTCACGGTGGCACCGGCACGGATGGAGCCGGGATGCGGATAATGGGGAGGGAAAATAAAAATAAAAGGGGATGAAAAGGATGCGAGAAGGGAAGGGGGGGACGCGGGACCCTTCGGCCCCGACCCCTCCCACCCCCCGATCCGGCCTCAGCCCAACGAAAACGGGCGCGGGGCTGGGGGCAGCGGCTGCACCCCCCAAAAAAACCCCCAAAACGGGGCTGGGGGAGCGACCGGACCCCCAGACACGGGGCTGGGGGTGGGAGAGGCGGCACCCCCCAAACATGGGCTGGGGGCAGCGGCTGCACCCCAAAACAGGAGCTGGGGCCGCTCCTGCCCCCCACCCCCGCGGCCATCCCCGTTCAGCCCCAGCTAAACAGCTTTTCTTGCAGCTTTTCCTCAAAATAAGGAAAATAGGGGGGAAAAACACAAAAAAAAAAAACAAAATAGAGAAAGTTTTCCACCCGCTCCCACCTCCCCGGCAATAAATGCGGCTTCGCAAAAGAAAAAAAAAAACCACAAAAGCAGAAAATCAAAAATGCAGGCGAGAGCAGCATCACCCCGCTCCGGCAGCGCAGGAGGGGAAAGGAAAATCAGCTCAATGCCAAATCCTGGACAGAACAGCCGGGGGCTGGAGGGCTTTTTCTTTTTGGCTTTTTTTTTTTTCTTTTTAAGTCTTTTTTGTTTCTTTGTCAGTTTTTATTCACAAGACTTAGTTTGCTTTTAAATTTCATAATTTATAAGGAAATAAGCTACATTGAAATAAATTAAACACAATAGTGAAGATCGTGCAGCCTTGGTTTTTTTTTTTTTTTTCTTTTTTCTTTTGCCTTTCCCCACCCCTCCTCCCCTTCTCTCCTTTAAACATGGATTGGTAGAATAGGCAAACCAAATCGACAGAAAGCCAGGCAAAAAAAAAAAAAAAAGAAAAAAAAAAAATTTGAAAAACTCATTCCCCAGTGCCTGCCACTCAGCCATCGGCAATAAAAACCAAACAATAAAAAAAGGCATGAAATGAAACTCTGAGTTTTCTTTCGGTTTTTTTGTTTTGTTTTGTTTGCTTGTTCTCTCGTCTTTTTGTTTTTTGTTTTTTTTTTACCTTTCGCCCGCAAATAAGAAAGAAAACCCCAAAGGTGGCTAAAGGCGCCGCGGGTTTGGCTGGGGATGCTCCGGGGAGGATCCAGCGCCGGCTCCGCTCCGCACCCGCGGGGTCCAAAGCGGGGCAGCCCCGCAATAAATCTCTCTGTGTTTGCGTGTCCCTTCTAGCCGGGATATCCCTGCTCCCAACCCAAACTGGTTCCAAAGTTTCGCTCGCAAGTTCGCTCCTGCTGGGGATTTGCCATGCGCTCGCTCGGGTTTTTATTTTTCGTGTTGTTTTAGTTTTTTTGCGGTGGGGTTTTTTGTCGCTGTTGGTGGTGGGGTTTTGTTTGTTTTTTTCTTTGCTTCTCTCGGTTTTGTTTTTATTCGGGTGGGTCGCTTTCAAACCCCGGGTTGGAAAGTTTTCCCTTTAAAAACTTGTGGCTCTGAGCGCGGGAGGAGGCAGAGATCAGGGTCGGGCTTGCTCCAGCTGCTGGTGCTGACTCCTGATCGCGAACCTGCTGACGTGCACCGGGATGGGCACCACGATCTTGGGGTTTCGGGAGGGTTCCCCTGTCTTGGAGTTGGCGTTGCCCGCCTTGACCCGTTTCCATTTCGCCCGCCTGTTCTGGAACCAGATTTTCACCTGCACCTCGCTGAGTTTGAGGGCGTGAGCGATCTGGGACCTCTCGGTCAGGGACAGGTACTTTTTGCAGTGAAATTCCTTCTCCAGCTCCAGCAGCTGCTCGCTGGTGAAGGCTGTTCGCCTCCGCCGGTTTTTGCCCGTGGACGTGGTGTTGGTGGAATTGGGGGGGTTCTGGGGGTTCTCCTCCAACGCGTTGCCAGAGTCCTCTTCCTTGTGAGCCGCCTGGCCGGGGATGTTGTCGTCCGAGCTATAATCTAGATCGCTGTCCATGGAGAAACTTTCCTCCTTGCCTTTCGCGTCCTCCTCCGCTTTGGGGTCCTCCTTGCCCTGGCCCCGGAGAGCCCCGGCTGGGAAGGAAGCGGAGGCCTCTGGTTAGCATCCCGCACCCTCCGTGCCGCGCCCCCCGCCCTGCAGCTCCAGCACCCCAAAACTGAAGCCTCGGGGATCCTTTTTTTGGTTTGTTTTCCTCCTTTTTTTTTTTTTTTTTTTTTCTTCCCTCTATCTGCCGGCGCATCTTTCGTTCGCTCCGATTTCGCCGGTAGCTTCCCGAGCGGCGGCGGGAGCTCAGCCCTCCCTTCTCTCCCTTCTCCCCGGCACCTCCCGGGGGTCCCCCCGCCCCTCCCGAGCCCCGCTCCCCCCGCGGCGCTCACTCACCGAGGGAAGCCTGGACGGCGTCGGCGGCGGGGAAGGGCAGCAGGGCCCCGTCCTTGCCCAGGAAGGCTTTGCCATCGTCGCCGCCGCCGTCCGCGGGTATCCCGTCGGCTTTCTCGAAGTTCCCGGGGGGCGCGAACTTCCTGGCGGCCTCCTGGTGCTGCGGGGAGGCGGGGAAGGTGCCGGGCAGCGTGGCCATGAGCGTGGAGGTGAGCGCCATGCCCTGGGCCAGGCTGGAGCAGAAGCCGGAGGGCAGGCTGGGCAGCTGGTGGTGGTGCGGGTGCGCGGGGGGCAGCGCGGGGGGCAGCGCGCCCTGCGGCAGCGCGGGCGGCGGCGGCGGCGGCGGCGGCAGCACCACGGGCCGGTAGGGCATGAACATGGGGTAGCCGGTGTACACGAAGTGGCCGGGGGCGGGCGGCGGGGGGCTGCCGATCAGCGAGTCGATGCTGAAGGCCGTGCTGCTTCCCAGCGGGCGCTGCATCATCATCAGCGAGGGCTGGAAAGCCGCGCTCATGCCGGAGCGGGGCGGGCGAGCACCTTTCTCCTCCTCGTCCTCCTCGTTGTCCGGCCGCTCGGCGGCGGCGGCGGCGGCGGCGTGCGGGCTGCGGAGAGCGCGGCAGAGCCGGGGCAGAGCCGGGCCGAGCCGGGCCGAGCCGGGCGGAGCGGAGCGGGGCCGCGGCCCGGCACTGCCGCACCTCGGGGCCGCCCCGCCCGCGCTGCGCCCCCGCGGAGCCGCCGCCGCCGCTCTGCCCGCGCGCGCCGCCCGCGCCCATTCACATTTCGGCCGCCTGGGAACCCGGCCCGCCCCACGTGCCCGCCGCCGCCGCCGCCCATTGGCCGGGAGCGCCGGGGGGCGGGGCCTGGCGGCGAGGCCACGCCCCCCTGGCGGCGCCCCGGCCCACGCGTGAGCGCCGCGGGACAGCGCGGGGACACCGCCACCGCCACAGCCCTGCCCGCACCTCGCCTTCTCCCCTTCTGGTTTAGTGCTTTTTCATTCACGCTCACCCCCTCTTTCCCCCCCCTCCTTTCTTTCCCCCCCTTCTTTTTTTTTTTCCTTCCTCTCTTTCTCTTTTTTTTTTTTTGAAAAGCCCCCAAATAGGCTCCATGTGGTTCTGGGTAAAGTCAGCCCCTGGCTTGGCTTTGAAATTGCTTCTGCAATTATGTAAAAGAGCCATTCAGCAACACGGCGGAATTAAAAGCGATGGAGGGGCTGCTCCCTTTTCTCCGGCGAGCTTCTCATGTTGGCCGGCTCAAAGCCTTTTCCAACACGACGTCTTTGGCGAGGACAAAAGCTGGAACAAAAAAAAAAAAAAAAAAGGGGAAAAAGAAAAAAAAAAAGCCCCCAAACTTGTAAATTGAACGTCAAGGGAACTTTACACAATTTCAAAGGCCATAAATAATGATAAAGGGACCAGGCGAAGAGGCAAACCCAGGCAATTAATGGAGGTTCCCAAGCAAAGATCAAGTGGTTTGGAAAATAAAATTAAATGCAGGAAGAAAAAAAAAAAAAAAAAAAAAAAGAAGAAAAAAAGAAGGAGAAGGGGAAAATAAAAAAGAGAAAGGAGGGGAGTTGACTGGGGAAGTTGAAGTCTTCCCGGGACAATGCTGCTGGCTGTGCCCTGCGCTTGGCTTGGGGGGTTCTGCAGGCAAACCCGCCTCCAAGCGGCTTTGGCCGGGGGGAGGGTCCCCCAAAAGCCGAGGATCAGCAGGACACCCCGCTCCCACCCGGCTCACCGGCTCGGGAACCCCTTAAGGAGCCGCCGCTCCTTCCCGGTAATTGTAATTGCAGCCCGAGTTCACCGGGGAGGGCGGCAGATGTCGCGCAGGACGGTGCCACCCCCGTGGCGGTGTCGCTGCCAGCGGCGGGGACAACCACGCTCCGTCCCCCAAATCTGCCCCCTTTTAGCCGGGCACCCTGCGAACCCCCTAAACCCCCCCAGCCCCCCAAAAACGAGCCCTGCGGGACTGGGGTCCCGCCCGGTCCTCTGCGAGCGGCATTTCCAGCGCCCCCCAAATCCAAATTCCCTTTCCCGGCAGATTCCCGCTGCCACATGCCGCTGTTTGCGGCTATCTGGCTCAGTTTATCCTCACCGCCAGCTGAAAACGTTCTTTCCTCGGCAGGAATTATGGGGGGCAGGTTGATATTTTAGGGCGTCAGCGCAGTTTTTGCTGCATCCCTGCCCGGCCGCAGTTTTGGGGTGCAGGATTTGGGGTCTCTGCGCTCCCACTGCAGGAAGGATTTATCCTGGAATGGGGAGGGGGATGGCCCCGGCAGCAGCTGCCGCTGGGGATGGGCAGGGGGGCTTGTGTGATGTGTGTGCACAAACACTTTTGGGGCCCATCTCCGACTTGAAGGGACTGGGAAAAGTTTATTTATCCCGCTCATTTCCATATGTCCTGGCTCCGTCTTGCGGAGGGCACCATATGTGCAGCAGCGCGCCGCTCGGGCTTTTCCCAGCCCCGCAGAGGGTGGGATTTCCCCCGTGGATGCTTCGTGGCCGCTTTTCCTATCCCATATTTTATTTCCTTTTCCCCGTGCTCCACCCGACCATCTCAGCCCTCTCCTTACACCCAGCACGGACCAGAACCGAGCTAAACCCAAAAAATACTCACGGGGAGCCAAGCAAAGCCAGCCAAGAGGGGCAGAAAATTCCCTTTTTTTTTTCTTTTTTTATTTTTTTTTCAGGCAAACCCCGCTGGATTGCGAGAAGGGCAAGGATAATTAGGCACGGCATGGAAATGTGTACCAACACCCAGCTCCTGCAGCTGTTTTTATTGTCAGCCCCCTTCAAAATTTGCCCACAAACAAGTGCCTTTGCAGGACGGGAGTATTATTTCGGGCAAGAATGGGCTTTTTGTTCGGCACATAATTAGCTGATTTTTTTTTCTTTTCTCCCGGAGGGGGAAAAAAAAAAACCCGCCAAAAAAACCAAAAAACCAAACCAACAAACCAACTCGATGCCTGATTGTGGCAGGTGCAAGCGGGGAGGGATTGTGCCTGGGGAATGGAGCAGGAGTGAGGGGAGCGATCCAGAGCTAATTCTTCCATTTGCCGGGGAAATTTTAATTGCGTGGGAAACGTCACTAAAATCACCAAAATCACCTCGCCCTACAGTGCTTTTAAGTAATTTTTTTTAATTATTTTTTTTTTTCCTTAGGAAAGGGAGGTGAGCAAGAGAAGAGACCCTGAGCAGAAGTGCAAAAGTGCAGAAATGCAGAAGTGCAGAAGTGCCTCCCAAAATCAGGATCAGGCGCGGGGAAGGGGAGGCAGCTCCGTGCGTGCCTCCGGCTTTATTCCAGAATTTTGGGAGCTGCGAAGGGATGCGCCCCCCTCCTTCCTCCCCTCATCCCTGCACAGGGCAAAGTTAAAAAAAACCAGCGAAACAAACTCCAAAATAATCCCCAAATCCCTCATTCGCCACATAATCCCATTAACTCCTCCACGTCTTCCCCTCTGAACTCCTTCCAGCCCCACTTCCACTCCACGCTTCTTTCTTTTCTTTTTTTTCTGGTTTTTAAACATTTTTTTTCCCTCCTTCCTTCGCCCTTATCCCCCATTCCCCCCCCCTCCCCCTTCCATTTTTAACAAACTTGAAGGTGCTCGGGAATTTCGGGTAAAGAAAAAAAAAAAAAAAAAAAAAAAAGGAGGTTAAAATGGTAAAAAAAATAACACGGTGCAGGTTAAAAAAAAAAAAAAAAGAAATTTGATTTCCATAATCCCGGCTCTTATCCCGAAATTCGTTCGGCTAATGGGAAATAGGCTGTTTGAAAAATTATTTTAAATGGATACATATTTAAACAACCGGAGTCCGAGTATTTTAAGAGCCTTACAGGAGACCTTAATCAAACACATCGCCACGGAGAGTTTAGTGGTGGCAAACCCCACGCACTCTCTCGTTCCCGGCTTTTCGTGGAATCGAGTTGAGAAATCCGCCGGGTTAAAAAAAAAAATCTAAAAAAAAAAAAATCCCGAATAAAAGTCTAAAATATTCCCGGGTCAGAGGGGCACAGTCTCATTAAAACCAGCGCGGTCCTGAAACTGCACTGCAGACATTAAAGTGCAGTATTTTTCAATTAGAGCTGACGAATTCAATCAAAATTCCATAGATTAGGATGAAATGAGGCATGGGTCATTTACAGGGGAATTTAATTGCAGAGCCATTAGACAAATAGTATATTTGCCATTCTCACATTATCCATCATTTTAGACATCAATAGAAGGAGCAGCATCTTTACTAATACAGCAGCACTTCCCAATCTCTGCCTGTAAACACTCCCTTTCCCCATAGCTCCTGATTATATCTGATTTCATTTAAAGCCATGGGGGATTATAAATGTTCCTGCAATCAGGTTCATTAGGACTTCAAAAAAAAAAAAAAAAAAAAAAAATCTCATTTCTGATTCGTATCGCTTTGCGGATCACCCAGCACAGCCCGCGCTTTAAAAAAAAAAAAAAAAAAAAAATTGAAATAAATAAATAAAAAAATCAAACGCTGTTTCATTACCGGGGCCACTTCGGGGTTTGATTATCGCCCTGACGAGCCCCTGTTCAGATGGTGAGAGGCAAACTCGGCTTCCCACTGGGATAACCCCCCCCTGCATCCCGAGGGGGGCTCCATCCTGCTCCGGAGGGTCCCCGGGTGGGGAAAAAACACCAGACGGGACGGCAAAACCTGTGGGTTTAAAATTTATTTGTATTTATTTTGATTTTATTTTTTTTTTTCCGGTGGGAAGGTGTGCATCACTCCTTAATTCTCCCCCGCTCCTTGCAATCAGAGAGGTGTGTGCAGCAGGGCGGGGAATTCCCATTATTTGGAAATTGTTTTGCAGCTGGACCATCGGTGCTTTAATACCGCAGGGTGGGAAAACGAGCAGGAGCAGCTCAACCACACACACAGAGGGGAAAAAAAAAAAAGAAAAAAAAAAAATCCTCGAGGAGAGAGGAAGGTCTCTGACATTTTTTGCCTTAATAGCAGCTTAATATTAAACGTCTTTCATAAAACACGCACATCCAGATCTACTTAAAAAGAAAAAAAAAAAAAAAGAGGGAAAAAAAAAGAGAGAAAAAACACAGAAAGCCTTCATTTCCCCCAAATGTATGGCGTGCGCAGCGCTGTGTTAGCTGCCTCAGTAATTTAATTGGAATGAAACGTGAAAAATGTGTCATTTTTTGAAGAATTTATGCATCGCTTCCTGGAAATCTCATTGTCTTAACTAGCAGCCTACTGTGTTCTGTTTAGCAGGCATAATCGCATTTTTATGTGTCTCCGTATTAGAAGTTAATGTGACCTCCCGTCTCTAGCTGCTGGAAAATAATAATAATAACCAAAAAAAATTATTAAAAAAAATTTTAAAAACCCCTAAACAACAAAAATCGAGCTTTTCTCCACAACATCTGCATCAAAACAAGGCGCTGCCAGGAAGGAAAAAAAAAAATCTATATTTCGGGTGTATATATATATATATATATATATATATATATATATATGCATAAAAACCGCCCGCCAAACTTATCAACCCCAGAGCCCGGAGCATCATCCCACTCGGAGCATCATCATCATCACCATCATCATCACC